AATAAAAAGATCAAAAAACAACAATAGAAATTTATAGAATATAAACTCTATTTAAACTCCACTCCTTAGCTTGGCGCCATATTGAATTTCGCGGTCGCGCTGGTAAAGGCCTGGGGACTAGGTGCTCTACATGTGCTCTACCGTATCTGAAATAGCCTTCACCGGTTTAAGCTAAGGAGTTAGGTCACATTCTTTTGTTTACCTTGCTCATATATGCTAATTATGTTACTGGTGGATTTTTGTACAACCTACATAATTAGTCTACTGTTGTTTATTGCAGATTTATCTCACAATGACACATTCCTTTCTGGATGGCAAGTTACAGTACCAAGCCACACATATCTTTGGAAACTGAACATACTGTATTTTAACCCATTGAGTGGCATTGCACCCTACTTTAGTATTTTACTCTGTCTAACGCCAGACGATTTTACTTGTCTGGCTCTATTTAAGAGGAGAGCGCTGGTGCAATGGGTTAACTGGCCTATCTGCCTATGTGTCTAGTTAACCCATTGAGTGGCATTGCACCCTGATGCACCCCACTTTAGTATTTTACTCTGTCTAATGCCAGACGATTTTACTCGTCAAGGGGAGAGCGCTGGTGCTTGATGGGTTAATGCATGCTTCCAGAAATTATGTCACCTTGGCTATATATAGAGTCTCATTTTCACGATTGAGACCTTGGACTTTAACTCATGTCACATACATGAAAATGAGGCTCCATAGACAAGGTGAAATACATTCCGGAAGGGTGTATTTGACTTTTTTGAAAAATAATTAGCAGTAAACAATTTAAAAAACAAAAATGTATAATTTTAATTGCTATAAAACTTATTTACACTTCAATAAAGTTATCATAATCATATAATTATTTATGTTGTTATGCATGGTATTATAATTAACTAATTCATTTTGTTGTTCTGCATGTTTTTCTGCATGTTGATGCCTCAGTGCCATCTCTTGTGCATATTAAACATATAATTTCTGCAAAATAAAATATGACATTATTATCATGATACATTATACATCTTTAATACATCACAAAAATATCATATACACATATGTTAACCCTTCACAAGTGACAAGTGGCAATGTGTCTTGATATGCCTTACTGTATTATTTTAATCTACCTAATGCCAGACAATTTTACTAGTCAAGGGTGCAATTACATGATCTGTTTTTACCAAGACCATTGATCCAAGCTTCAAAATTAAATGTCATGTTTCAGAATTCAGCAATGCAATTACATTCCTAACTAAAATATGTCATCATCATAATTTCTCACAGGCTATGTCATGGCCAATTGGACATCACTACTCCCAATGTTAGTGGTTTTACTTAGGGAGGGGGGGGGGGGTTAAACCCCTCTAATAGAGTGTTCAACCCCACCAAAATTCTGCTTCAACCCTCCCGTTTTGTGTGAAAGGCTTTAACCCAAACACCTAACCACTGCCAAAGCTCACTGAGTGGTGCTGCTTGCACCCGGCCACCAGAAATTCTTCTACCCCTCCTTTTAAATAAATGAAAATCTGCCCTTGTTAGAAATGTTGTAGCATTCCAAATTTACTTCATGATTAGTGTATCAGTGACTCACTTAAATTCCGGCAGCTTGTGGGCAACATTTTTGTTGCCAACAAGCTGTGTAAAACTATATAGTAGTTTTACATAGTTCTAAACAGACAATGGTGCAAAATTATATCTATTTTTAAGACTCTTCCCTTGATGAGTAAAACATCAGGATTTAATCTCACAGATTGAGTAAAATAAGAAGGTAGCCAGGGTTCATTGCAGTTTAATATTGGGCTGACTATAATGGGCTGTTTATTTGCCGATAGTGTAATTAACCCACTGCGTGACAGCATGGAGCAGTCTCATTTAGTCTCAATCCCCTTAAGATCGTCTGGCATTAGACAGAATAAAATAATAAAGACAGTCGATCTTTAGGGCTCATCAGGACAGGGCACATGGATTGTCACATGTAGGTGAGCCTCCTCTACGGCTCAACTCTCTCTGGTCTTGTGCTTATCTATATATACTAATTCTGCACTGTGATGGGCAGGTATATAAATTTCACACCATATTTAATAAACGTTTTAAAATATATGAACATGTAATTAAACAACCACAATTTTTAGTATAAATTAAAAAACTGGCAATATACCACAAAGGCCATGCAGTGCTGACACAAAACAACATAATTTCATGTACACAATGTTTGGTCGTTAACAATACTTTTATGTCCCCTATTGAAATATTTGCTGTATATATTAGGATGATAAGTTTTTGACATAACATAATCGAAGGGTCTATAGTGACTCACTGACTCTAGAAAGTTATAAAAAAGTTTCGTGAATCTTACCTGAAAGAATTAGTCTTTCTTTGTAGTGAAATGCTGCATCCACAAGCGAAGCAAACCCGCACCCTCGCCCCGCGTTGTAAAACAAGTAATGTTGGAGGAAAATATTAAGATTTTTTAGCTCAACTCAACAGAAAACTTGAAATATCTTTAATATTTCTGTCCAAAAACCAGGGGGGTTAAGGACATCGTCGAAAGCTTAGGATCGCGGTTGGTCAGTGGCAATTACCATGAAAATTTCGGAAGTGTTGTCATGGCAATGGCGTAAGATCCGCCATGTTTTTGGCGACACTTTTTTTCCCCGAGCAGGTCCTCCAGTAATATAGTATAGCTCAGTGGTTAGAACACTGGAATCGCAAGGCCGCAGGTTCGATTCCTTGTAGAGAGACTATGTGCAGTTGCATTTTTCGCGGCTGTTCCTGGCTAAGTCTAATAAATGTATGAAAATTCACACTCGAAATTTACATCTACAAATCCCTTGAAAAATTACTTCTATCGAGTGAGCTGCCCAAAGTTCTAAGAATATTTTTCCATTTGCTGAAACATACCCAGAAGCTCTTCAGCTTGCATGTTCATGCTGACCATCGATCTTATTACCCTGGATTCCAGAGCCTTCGACAGTAAATAATAAATTGAAATGTCACGAAGGCTCTGGTTCAACGGGGCGATTCTTTGATTAAGCCGCGCCAATCACAAAACAGAATTAGTGGTTTTAGTACAGAATCTGTACTAAAACCACTAATTCTGTTTTGTGATTGGCGCGGTTTAATCAAAGAATCGCCCCGTTGAACCAGAGCCTTCGCGACATTTCAATTTATTATTTACTGTCGAAGGCTCTGGAATCCAGGGTACGATCTTATCTGTCTATGAACAAATCGTTTTTTCTCCTTTCCTATGAAATTTCCATTCTCGCACCCAGAGCCCTTCTTACGCGCGGTCGCGAGGAGGACGTGAGAAAGGCTCAGGCACAGAATAGGAAGTTATACCAGAAGCGTAACTCGAGCAAATATTTGTCCGCGTTTTTACAAGCGATTCGTCATCAATCACGCCATCCTGGCTAGTACAACCGGCACTTTGTACCTACCAAATCCTGATAAAAACTTCCGGCTGTACTAGCCAGGATGGCGTGGCCTGACGTGAGCGAGTTAAAAATTTTCGTGGACGTCAAACAATAAGGGAAACGACTAGAGTTACGCTTCTGGTATAACTTCCTATTCTGTGGCTCAGGATAAAGGGAATGTTGAAATATCGTGAAAAATGTAGTCCCAGTCTCCGACAAATGACTCCGACGCACTTAAATTCAATATAGCGGACATGGTGCCAACTTTCGATCTTAAGCTATTTAGCCGCACACTAGTAAACTGATATTAAGAGTAAAGACACGATGAGATGAGAGAAGAGATATGCCTGCACAGGAGGACATCTTTATTTTAGTTACTGTGAAATCTTTCTGTGTAGTCCTCCATTACGCAGAGAGGGCCTTGAAGAAAAAGACTAGTCTTTGTACATATAAACTATAACAAATATACATATATTGAATAACAAATTTGCTGCAGCAGGAAACCTTACGTTATAAAGCAAATTTACTGAAATTAACCCACTTATAATCTTTAAATCAAGAATAAATATCTTTGTTATATAGCTAGTGTGAACACCAAACGTGATTGGCTGATTTGTAGTCACGTGGCTTTAGATAAATGCATTGTATCCCGTCCGGGCAATAAGTGAAAAATTGTTGCCCGCCCCGACCGGCTACGTAGTACATAAATAAACAAAATGGCGGCACAAATTTATACTATTTAAACTGCTGTTTTCGTGGCTTTGTGTTAAAATAAAGAATGTAAAGAGAAGAAAAATACATAACAGGCAACAGGATATGCTGCTGAAACCATTTAAGTAGGTTTTTTAAATTTTAAACTTGTTTACGCTATAGAGTATTTGTCATGAAATACAAATATTGTTGTATGGATGTTGTTCAATGTTGATATTTGTTTCGTCGCTATATAACAAAACACTTAACGTCTTTTCCCTCGGGAAATAGTTAGTTTTGTTTTCCCTCGAATCTCAATGTTTCTCTCGACTTCGTCTCGGGAAACATTGAGATTCTCGGGAAAACAAAACTAACTATAACTAACTATTGCCCTCGGGTGCAGACATTAAGTGTATAATATACACTTAATGTCTGCTCCCGAGGGAAATAGTTTTGTTTTCCCGAGAATCTCAATGTTTCCCGAGACGAAGTCGAGGGAAACATTAAGATTCGAGGGAAAACAAAACTAACTATTTCCCGAGGGAACAGGCATTAAGTGTTTTGTTTAAACTCGGACTCTAACATCTAACCCAAATCTAATCTTAATATGACCCAAATCTAATCTTAATATGACCCTAATCTAACCCTAAACTTGACGACCTTTTCTTTTTGAAAACAAGGTTCTCGGCCTACACCAAACTTTGTTACCAGTGGTACCCTGATGGCAATGGTGGTCAGTGTGGTGCTGGCGAACCCAGACGTCTTTGCACACACGTCAACTCAGCCACCCAATATTACCGAGACGACACAGACAACAGAGGAGGCGGCTGTCGCATGAGCTGGTCCATCGAATCACCTTATAGCCCCACAGTGGTTCAAGAACGTGCAAATATGCTACCGATGGTACCCGGATGGTGACGGCGGTCAGTGTGGAGGTGCGGCGGCACACATACTGTGTGCTCCAGTGCGGTAAATACACGGCGGTCTACCGAGATGACACCGATAATCGCGGCGGTGGGTGTAGAATGTCTTGGCAGCTTAAACTACCATCTGTGCATAGTTGGTGGGCAAGGAATATCCAATTGTGTTACGAATGGTATCCAGATGGTGATGGTGGACAGTGTGGTGGTGGTGCTGCTCGCAAGCTTTGTGCTTTGGCCAACTTCTGGACTCCTTACTACAGAGATGATACCGACAACAGAGGAGGTGGATGCCGCATGAGATGGGGTCTTTATTACTAGTGAAATAAAATTGGACTGACTTGTATTACTAGTGTTTAGTCTTTCTAAGATTTTCATAATGTTGCTGTAGATCTGCTTGCGTAATTCTGCTATAAAATTTGCACAATTTTTTCAGATTTCATAATTTTAAATTAAACGGATTTATGAAATAAATGATATCAAGAATGAGTTGATTGGTTTGTGTTGGTTTGGGGGGTCTGGACCCTAGCTTAAGGTATGCTAATGAGGTTTTGCATCCCTACCTTATAAAACTGAACACTCTGATTCCCCTCCTTTAGTCACTAGAAACACTTCCCTCCCCCCTCACTCTTAGGTTGGTTAGGTGTTATGACTGTTCCTCCAACCCGGTGGGTTGTACGTTGTGCTGCTGCAGCAATCGCGAGACGTCTTTCTCGCTAGTACGCTCTGATGTCGTCCTTCGCCCGCCCGTCGATTACGCGTTTTCGTTCGGGTCGTCTCTTCGCCCCTGCCGGTTTCATCGCAATTGATGTGCTGTCGTTCGTGGCCATTGCTTATTCATTCCTCTGGTTTGCCCCTCTTCCCCTTCTCGTTGCGAACCGTTCGTTTCCTTCGGTGTCAATCCTCCACCGTTGCAGTTTCCCATGCCCCCCTCGCGTATATTAATTTATTATTATATATAGACTTAATGTTTGAACACTTTACTTTTCAGCTTTCATGCACTTGCCGTTTTTAAAATGTTTACGCAACCTATAGCACGTATAAGATTACACCTGCTGCCAAAGAATTTTACATAAATTTATATTCTTTATAAAATATTTTAAATATATAAAACATCATGCAGTGTTACTACACGAGGAAACCAACTAAACTAACTATAGTTATACTGGCTAGCTTTGGCTACCTCTATATGCTTCGATCTCAATGGTAATATTACTAGAAACTGTTCTCCTAAGAAGTCCAATAAGAATAATCCATTATTGGTCTAGTAGTATGCAGGAAAAACTAGTAGAGAAAGCCTGTGATATTTATAGGAAAGTCCAACTGGAAGCACTCCTCCAATAAAAACATTGCAACTGCAAAAGTACTATGATTTTTTCTGTGTTGGTGTAATGTACTAAGGTGAATATGATGCTTGTGATGTTACTCTGAGTGTATATCCACACCGGGCAAGCTTGAAAAATATCCCTGACCACGGTGGGAATCGAACCTTCGACCTATGGAATACTAGCCCAATGCTCTGCCAACTGAGCTACGCGGTCTGGTCGGTTCGAGTATGTGATATTTCGGAACAGATTCTAGTTTCTTCGATATGAATGTAATCTAATAATCATAATTTGGGCTGTGTTGGTGTAGTGTACTCAGGTGAATATGATGCTTGTGATGTTCCTCTGAGTGTATATCCACACCGGGCAAGCTTGAAAAATATGCCTGACCACGGTGGGAATCGAACCTACGACCTTTGGAATACCAGCCCAATGCTCTGCCAACTGAGCTACGCGGTCTGGTCGGTTCAACAAAGAAAAAATCATGATTATTAGATTACATTGATATCGAAGGAACTAGAATCTGTTCCGAAATATCACATACTCGAACCGACCGGACCGCGTAGCTCAGTTGGCAGAGCATTGGGTTGGTATTCCAAAGGTCGTAGGTTCGATTCTCACCGTGGTCAGGCATATTTTTCAAGCTTGCCCGGTGTGGATATACACTCAGAGTAACATCACAAGCATAATAAAAGTACTATTTGCAACGCGATAAAATAGAAATTTTGTCCCAGATAACTCTACTTCGACATTTTGGTTTCAATTTTTTAGTCGGAGGCCCAGCTTTGCTTTCCCCTACACCAAACATGCGATGCGGAAAGTTTATAGTAAATGAATTTTATGCTTTAAAGTATTTCCGTTTCTGTGTTTCGTTTCTTTACAAACCTAGTGTAGTTTACATTATAAATCGAATTCCAGTATTTCCAGACAATGTTGATTCATCAATGGGGGAAATGTAAATCAGCTAATATTCAAATACACATTTTAAAAATAGGTACGCAAGGCGTACATGTATCTGCGAAAAAACTTGATTCACATTTTGTAATTTCTTGAAAGGAACTGAATAATGAAGATGACATGGGACAATTGAAATATTTCATCACTTATTATAATAGCAGATAAGATTTAAAACAGGGCTGTACACAGCAGGCAGTGCAGCAGGGCAAGTGCTCCCCCCCCCCACCCCCGCACCGAGAAAATTTAACTAACTTTATAATGTCATTACGCAGTCAGGAAATAAAAATTTCATGTAAACAATATTCAAAGTGTCTATACAGCCGGCTATTTAGTAAACTGTCACCTGTCAATTCAATCCATACTCATCAAATTTTCAAAACTTTATTGTAATCACATGAAGCAAAAGTTATGTCACTTGTTGTAATTTACACTTGCCAATGTTAACTGTTGAGTAACATACACAAAATATTTGGTGAACATGTCGAAGACCACTGAATAATTGAGAATGTTTTGAAGGTCATGAGTGAAGTATATAATTAAATTCCAGTTCTGTGCACGGTTAATGATATACCACACTGTTCGGTTTAACACGTACAGCACCTTCACACAAAAACAATTGTGTTGTGGGAGATTATCGGTTTGAGTAGAAGGTATCACAAGTTTAGTTTTGTACATTGTGTGCCATTGATCAAATCCACCATATAATATATGATTATTCATTGTAGCTGTTAAGTTATTTTCCATACTAAATTGTAATGAATTTAGGTAAGATTGTCTTGCAAGTCGGTTGTTCTGACAAAATTATCCAGCCAATATCCAGTACATTTATCCTTCATTCTTGTAATAATCTCTAAAGAAAAATATTTAAGTTAGAAAGCAAAATGACAATGTAATGAGGCTCGGGAGGGTGAGGATTCTTTTATTTGAAAATGTTTGTAAAAATTTTGTTTAATTAACTCCAATGTGTAAAACCAAAATGCATAAGTATTTTAACTGATAACATCTTCAACCTTTGCTCTAACACTACATTTGATGACAGCTTTATAGTTGGATCGACTGTTGTTACGGAGTCAATATACAGAAATACAGGACCAGGATTTAATTCAATATCTCCTGAGAACTGTTCAATAGGTTCCTTTGATATTGTTAATTGGCAATATTGCCTGCTATGTTTTCACTGTTTAAAATATTACAGAAGTCACAGAAGGATTGTTTTTAATACTGTATAAATCTTTTTGTGAACTATGTTGACAAATCTATTTCAAATGGCTTAAAATATCCTCGAAAATATCCAATATTTTATACAGTGTAATATATTAATAAAAAATTCCAGAGTGCATTCCATGTAAACTCTACGCCGAAGATACGGCAATACAATTCTTTATTCTGTGGCAATATTAACTATAGATAGTATACCGTAGTAAATATTTGCCGAACTGGCAACTCATGTATTATTAAATATGTGGGACATATACTGTATTTGCACAAATTTGGTATTTAAATATATAATATGTGGCATTTGACTACTTACCAGATGAGGATAAGATTCCATGTTGGTAAATAACTTCAATTCAAGATAAATTGATAAAAATATCAAGATATTTTTGAAAGAATAACACGATTTATACACGAGGCCTGATGAGGCTAAAGTATGCCCGTTCGCAGGTTAGATGCGGGCACGACGTAAACAATTGATGTAAACGAATCGCTGATTGGCTTAAATTAGCATAAAATAGCTTAAAATATATAAGCTCGTCGCTGAATGGCTATGTGTTAACATACGGTAACACTGACGGTCACGTTTGCGATAGCAATATATCTGCTTCGCAGATACAATAAAAATGGTCGATCGCCAGTTGATATATATATTTACGCAGATTAAGCAGATAACAGAGAGAAGCACGTGCTTGATTTGTGCACTGGGCCCACGTAATGAGAGGGCAAATGCCAGTACTTCAATTTGTTAACTTTTATATTGCTACCAGCTTCGTAATGTCCTATTTTTTACGTTAAATTTAAATTCCCAAAATTTTAAATTATCTTCAAAACACCTGTTTGTTTTTCGCCCGACGAAGTACTGAGTTTTGCCCGACAAAACTGTCGATTTACGCCCCTGCATACAGTTCAGTTTACAATGTATAATAAAAATGTCTTACATTCCTCGAAATTTAGGGTAATTTATAGATAGTTGATGGATTTTTGTAGGGACCACTGTCCAGTGGATAACGATATTCAGCTTTTGTACAATGTAACTTTCATAGACTTTAGGAAAACATTTTTTCCTTCTAATCCTAATGTTTGCCACCCAAATTAAACCTCTTAATTAACACTTCTAATGCTCTTCCCAATCTTATGTGGTCTCAATTGTTTTCTCCAGTCTTGATTTTTCAGCAGCAAAAACAACTTTATGAGATGTAAGCGACTGTAATACATTCGACGAGAGTAGTGAAGGATCATGATGAGCTATTGCTTTAGTGACTGCGTTCATAAGAAAGAAATCAGCACCACCATGACCTCTGGTACGAATACGACATTTAGGTACAATCTGATCTGGAAATATTTCTTTCCTTTCTTCTGTAGCAAACGAGTAGACTTTAATAGCTCGGTGTGAGCTTCCATCCCAACGTAGTTCACCATGGGTACCACACACTCTAGTCTCACGTCTCATATCACTGGTGAAAGCATTCATGGTCATTACAGCCGTAGCACCACTGTCAAACTCCATGTTTACCATTTGATGGTCACATACGTCATTATCACACGAATACACACAACGACCATATGGACCTGTAGGTAACAAAGTGTATAAAGTATATTTTGATATATCATAGTTACATATTACTGTGCACGGGAGGTTGACAATTTTTTTTTAGTAAAACTGGTCTTCCGATTGCGCAATCGTCGGTGGGTTCGATTATCGCTGTGGACAACGCTCTAGCAAAAGCCATGCGCTACAGAACCTTCGGGTACTCCGGTTTTCTTCTCCAAATCGACCTTTCCAGCACAGCTGTGTTGCGTGATCAGACATGAGTCATAAGGTGGCTGCCAGAGATGCCTTAAAGACAAACTAATAAAGCTTTCAACTGGATCAAGTTGAGCTGTGTCTTTCATAATTCAGCTTAATTCTCAGCTGAAAGTAAGGATGATTTGCCCCACCTACTCACCTGAACTGTCTGTGCCAGTGTAGGTACCAATAATATAAACAAGCTTTCGTTGGTAGGGATGCAACTACCTGAAAAATATAAGGAGAATTTCGACGTTTCGAGCGAAGACCCTTCGTCTGGAGTTACTATATACAGCGGGGGCGGGAAAATTCCATGAGCTTTCATACTAAGAATATAAAAGCGATCACGTAACAAAAATAAACCAATCAGATGGATTTAGTCAAAACAAAGCATAAAAAAAAATATGTAAATTACAAAATAGAATATATTAATGCAAATGTACAGAAAACTACAGACAGGCAAGGACAGATAGAGTTAAACATACTGTAGGAAAATGTTCATTGATGCCATAGGGGTAAACAATGCAAAGTTTGGAAATGGAGCGCATTTCATGTCTTTTGCGGCTATCGTTGCTTTTGCGGCAATCGTTTAATACTGGCAATCACAGTTTCCAAATATGGAAAGTCGAGCCCTCTGTCCCATTTCTGGATCTGGAAGCAACGATAGCCGCAAAAGACACGAAATGCATCTCATTTCCAAACTGGCACTGTCCACCCCTATATGGCATTAATGAACTTTTTCCTATGTTTTACTCTGTCTGTCTTTGCCTGTCAAAAGCAGGCATTGACAGTACCTTATTCCGTACTTGTTTCATACATTTTGTTGTATTTGCTGTAGTTTTCGGTATATTTGTATTAATATGCTTGTTTGATGTTACTCTGAGTGTATATCCACACCGGACAGGCTTGACAAATATGCCTGGCCACGGTGGGATTCGAACCTACGACCTTTGGAATAAGAGAGGGCTTGTATTAATATGTTCTGTAATGCACATTTTTTGTTTTGACTAAATCCAAATGATTGGTTTATTTTTGTCACGTGGTCGCTTTTATATTCGTAGTATAAAAGCTCATGTAATTTTCCTGATCCCCGCTACACGGTAACTCCAGACAAAGGGCCTTCGTTCAAAATGTCGAAATTCTCCTTATATTTTCAGGTGCAGTGATTGCATCCCCACTTACTTACTTACTTACTTTTATGTTCATTTTTCAAACTCACAGCTCGATTGAGACTACAAACTGAAGTTCACAACACTTCATATATAGACCATGTCTATTTAACATTGGTAGAATTACACGCATTCGAGCAGGCTTTGTGATTGGTTGATTAGGAATAACGTTTCTTAACAACCAATAACAAACACAGATAAAGTTTCTTGCAGACGTCGGTCAAACGAAGTGTATCCTGGATCAAACGAGAATGAAAGTGCATGGGAGTTGGCAGTCACATGACGCTGGTTAGCTGTTCTTCACGCTCTTAACAATATATCATGGAACACTAAAGCTGAAGAAATACGAGCAACAAAATTGCTGAAACTTGGAACAAAATCTGATTTCAACGCATGTTAAGCAGAAATGTCGACACATGTTGCCCTCGCGATTTGTAATTTATGTGTAAACATTTTCAATTAACATGCGTAGAAATCAGATTTTGTTACAAGTTGCAATAATTTTGTTGCCCGTATTACTCCACCTTAAATCAAACCTTTATTTTGTTAATCTAGAGCCCGAAATGTCCCCTGTAACAATTCATGACTGCCAACTCTCATCCCTGCCTGACAGGGGATTTAAAGTTGACATTCATTTAGTTCCATTACGGTAAAGTATATTATTACATGGCTTTTCAAAATTCTCTATTCTGATTGGTTGACAAGCGGTCCGTAAAACCCCATATCCGTACCGTGGTCCGTATTTCCGTATCTGTCCCGGTGTCCCGGATGTCGTTTATCTGGCGGGAAATTTTTGCTTAAAGCTTTGCAAACAGAATTTTCTTTTTCTTTTTAAATTTCCAATTGTGCTTTACAGATAGCAACCAAATTGTTTTTGATTGAGCATGCATGCCTACTGTATATTGTTACCCAGTGAAACTCACAATAGCCGACTTAATTCGCGCGAAAAGCATATGCTCACAGACTCAGTTCAGCCATATAATAAACCGATTATTGACCTCGCTTGTTCAGTCTGTACTGTGAAATATCAGACCTCTGTATTTTGGAAGAACCTCGCTCCTTCGTCGCTCGGTCCATACTAAAACTGTAAAAACCTCGGTCTGATATTTCACAGTACAGACCGAACAAACGAGGTCAATAAGCCGTTATTATTTAATCTACTGTATATTTACCTGTTTCCAAAGCTTCCTTGAGAGCAACAGCATAGCCTGCAGGATGGTCCTCTATGTCACAAACTGCTGACATTGGCCACATTGGAGCATTATTAAAACCTTGTAAATATATCTTCTGTACAGAATATGGACAATCTTTCTCAACTGGGCATTCCAGGCATCTTGATGCAGCACCTTCTGGTTTCTGGGACTCTTTAAAATGATAGACATTTCCAAATGACTGGACTCTTGTACACTTGTGGTCACCCATCCAGTACATGATAAGATCTATGTCATGACAACATTTTGCCATCAAAGAGAATGTGCTGCTCTCTGTATTACGCCAGTTACCTCGAACAAAACTGTGAGCAAAATGCCAGTATAAAACATTCTCGTTGTGATTTATTGTGACAATTTCACCAAGCATTCCACTCGCAATAATTTCACGAATTTTCACACATGGTGGTGCATATCTAAAGAAACACAATCATGATGTTATAAGACAAGACTTTAGTGTTTTGAGTTTATATACATGTTATAATAGTAACTTAATGCCAATATTATTTTAATTCTGGTATAGAGATACACCTGCCCTGCAGGACTCAACTTCCTGTAGTTCGTTTCGAACCACAGCTCAAAATAACGGCCGGTCAACCACAGGCCAAATTGTTTAAGAGGCAATTTTTTTCAATGTCACGTATTTGCACTGAAAACTTACTGAACTTCAGACATCATTTTCTCTTTGGCGTATCATCTAAAATTTTTTCATTTTAGCATTATTTTACAGATACTGTAAAACCCTAAACATACTTTTTAAGTTTGTTTGCCGATTGAGAAACGTATCGAAAAATAAAAATTTTGAATTTAGTCATAACCTCAAGTGGTATATATTATACGCATTACGCCATTAGTTTTGAGCGCGTGTTACGTAACATACAAAAAAATCTCCTATTAATATGACTGGTCAAATTTATTTGACAACTGTCACAATTTGACTCTGGGAATGAGATTGAGTTTTGACATAATGGTAGACCCATTAAATATTATGTCAATTTGTAAGGGTTTTCATGGTATTAAACATTTTTTGTTTTGATCTTGCCAAAACAATCTCACTGAGAATGTTTCCTCGAAGATCAAGTGACAGCGCAAGAAATTGCATGTCATGAAACATTATTTTGGGCTGTGCCAATAAACTAATGATGCAATATATGGGTAAAGTTATCACCACTGCCCCAGAGTGTTACAGGTAGCTACAGCAAATAATTAAAAAACACAACCATGCAGAGTCACAAAATGTCTCCTGAGTGTGGACAACTGCCATGAAGTTTTTTCTGTGGCTAACACCCTGTTCACTCACTCTAAAACCAGACAATTATTTTTATTTTTTATTTTACAAGTTTGCCATTGCAATACATCTATAATGAGTACTAGAATGGTTACAAATGACTGGAATTTCCACACAGAGATAGTTCTGCAATAACGGTGTTCCAAAAAAGAACAACTTATGGTATATCTAATTATTTTAAAATTAAAGCAAACATAACAATTAAAAACAAATACAAGAAGACAAAGCAAACGTATTGACGGACAAATGAACAAAAACTAAATTTAGCAACATGTTCGAGTTGATAAGTTCATTAGTGGGCGAGTGGTGTGACATTTAATACAAACAGACTTAAATGTTCTTGGATCTTCAGGATCATAAATTTGTTGGGTAAATTCTACGTAATACTTCATTAGATTACATTTAAATGTAGTTAGAGTAATTATTAATTATAACTTTTCATTTTTTAATGGGTGATTCAGCAAGCAATATCTGTCCATGAGTCCACCTACTGTATAAACATTATCTAACACTGAAAGACATTATGGTACATAAGAGAATTCACTGCACCAATTATTTATTACACTGTTCGTTCTGCTGAGATCTTGAACACATTACTGGGATAATCTAGAGCAACCGTATACCCAACCATTATAATTGCATGACACTCCCAAGACCTTTGACTGAGTTGAGTCACTCGATCTTGAAAAGCTTTACCTAGAGACTGACAACTGTCCTGTGGAATAGCCTGTCTGTTGAAGCAATTAACCCATTAAAGGTGACATGACACGAAATTTTTTATTGTCCCATCTGAAAGAATAGTGATTACTGTAAAGTAACTTCGTTTACAGATTTTCGTTTACATTCTTCCTTGGTGAGAGAATTCAGTTTTGTTCACATGCAATGCAAACAAATTTACGTCACAGTTTGCATAATTAGCTACCAAATATTTGATAATTTATGTATTTTAAATCCAACATTGTCATTTGCAAAACTGCATTATGCTTTACATTATCCTCAGCATAACGCATATATGGATTTTCAAACGATTTAATCACTTATATACGCGATAACCTGACATTTAACGATAACTCATTATGCAAAGTGTGACGTAAATTTGATTGCACTGCATATCAAGAAAACTGAATATCCCACCAAGGAAGCACGTAAACAAAAATGTGCAAAAGAAGTTGCTTTACAGTTTTGACGATTCTTTCAGATGGGGCAATAAAAAATTTTGTGTCAGGTCACCTTTAAGTGGCAGCACTCTTCCCGTGACGAGTAAAATTGTCTGACGTTAGACAGAGTAAAATAATATTAAAATAGGGCACATTGATACTTAAAAGGTTAAGGCAATTATCATAGTTAGTATTATTATTAATACTAGTTAATTTTTGATATACTGTATTAAAAACTTTGTAAATATTTCTATTGTGCTCGGCTCCATGGAAGAGCACATATTGTGAATGGATTCCGTGTTTAACCCTTTAAATGGCAATGCACCCCAATGCACCCTACTTTAGTATTTTACTCTGTCTACCAGTAATGCAATTTTACTCATCAAGTGGTAGTGATGCACCGATATGGAAATTCACCGACATTTCGATAACCCATATTGAAGGACCGATATTTTGCCGATACCGTACCAATATTGTATTATTATGTCATTTCACAAAATTCAAAGATGACATCATGACGGTTCTACTTAATTAATACTTTTCAATTTAATTCAATTCATTTATTTCTAAATACTGAAAATATCAAATGAAATGCTGCAAATGCATGCAACCAACTAGTATTAATATTACTATGCTAGTGACTGTTTATTTGTAATAAAAAAAACTACAGTATTGAACTGCAACTATAATCAATCATTAATATATTATAACAGCTGTTTGTAATGTTGGTAATATCAACAACAAAATTACTGATACCTATATTTGTATTTTTAATTAGTATTGATAAGCCGATACCAGTACACCGATATGGGTGCATCACTATCAAATGGAGAGTGCTGCCACTCAATGGGTTAACCAAACAAACTGGCCATGCGTCCTCTTAACCCTTCAAGTAGCAATGTACCCCGATGCGCCCTACTTTAGTATTTTACTCTGTCTAACGCCAGATGATTCTACTTGTCAAGTGGAGAGTGCTGCCACTGAATGGCCGGTTAAATAAAGTTTTAATTAATAATAGTAAAAATCCTTTATAATAATCTCCCACATAATTTAATAGGGTTCAGTAAAAACAAGATGCCCATGCAGCCAGTGGAGGAAGTCAGGGTGGATCAGGGGTGATCTAAAACTGCGATCGTGGCTTCTTAAATACCCAAGGGACGACGTCACCTGCCAAGAAGATGCATAATTTATATTCTTCTGGCAAATAGGCGCCGTCATCCCTATTCAAAGCATGATGACTCATATTTATATGCCACGCTTCTAGGCAAAGTCTTTGACCGTAGCGATTGTTTGTGGTAATTACTCTAGAGTTTTCCCACGCAATCTCGTGTTTGGTGTAACATACATGTTCGGCTAAAGCTGATTTTCCCTTGTCTAAAGTTGAAACAGCCTTTTGATGTTCTTTTAGCCGTGTACCAAACTGGCGTTTAGACTGACCCAAATACTCTTTGTCGCAGTCACCGCATGGTATAGAATATATAGCATGAGTCTTCTGATTTTTTCAACAGGATCTTTTGGCTTTGCGAAAATATGGCCTAAGGTCAAATAGGGTTTTAAGGCAACCTTAATATTACAATTACTTAAGATTCTCTTGATTGGTTCTGTGACACCTTGAATGTATAGAACTATTGCAAAACCCTTAACAGAGGTATCACCCTCGGAGTTATTTTGGTTCCTATAAACAGGTGGTCTCAGGCAATCATTAAGAAAACGCTCTGGGTAATTGTTTTCCCCTAACACATTTAGAACATATTCACGTTCATTAGCTTGAGAATCACTGTTTGACGGCAACGATTCAGCTCTTTGAAGCAAAGTTTTTGCTACGGATCTTTTATGGCTTACTGGGTGATGATTGCCTGAGACCACCTGTTTGTAGGAACCAAAATAACTCCGAGGGTGATACCTCTGTTAAGGGTTTTGCAATAGTTCCATACATTCAAGGTGTCACAGAACCAATCAAGAGAATCTTAAGTAATTGTAATATTAAGGTTGCCTTTAAACCCTATTTGACCTTAGGCCATATTTTCGCAAAGCCAAAAGATCCTGTTGAAAAAATCAGAAGACTCATGCTATATATTCTATACCATGCGGTGACTGCGACAAAGAGTATTTGGGTCAGTCTAAACGCCAGTTTGGTACACGGCTAAAAGAACATCAAAAGGCTGTTTCAACTTTAGACAAGGGAAAATCAGCTTTAGCCGAACATGTATGTTACACCAAACACGAGATTGCGTGGGAAAACTCTAAAGTAATTACCACAAACAATCGCTATGGTCAAAGACTTTGCCTAGAAGCGTGGCATATAAATATGAGTCATCATGCCCTGAATAGGGATGACGGCGCCTATTTGCCAGAAGAATATATGCATCTTCTTGGCAGGTGACGTCATCCCTTGGGTATTTAAGAAGCCACGATCGCAGTTTTAGATCACCCCTGATGAAGACACTAGACTGGAGTGTCGAAACGTTGGGTCTTGATTGCAATTCGACTGGGCTTTGTAATCATTTATTTAAACCAGAGTAGCGAGCGAAACATGATTGATATACCTGGTTGCAGTGAACGAACAAACTTTATACCCCCCCGGTCGTTGCTTTCATGCTTGAGAGTTTTTTTAAAGGCGTTCAAAGACGTCCTTGACACGACGTTAACACGAAAACTGATAGGGTACAGCCAAAATTATGTGCGTGACTAAGCGAGGTACACCCACGCATAAATGTAGTTTCCTTGAAAGCCCTCTTGTCACCACAGGCACTCTTTCTTTTCTCCAATATAACATCTTACGCAACTTGTGGCAAGTTTTAGTTTTGTGTATGTATATTTGAGGATGGTATTTTTCTTTGCCAGATTATAGAGTATATATATGGTGTTCGTCAGTAATTAAGTCACAGAATAGCCAATTAATAGGGATGCATATATACAAAGGCTAACAGGCCAACAGGTTGGTTCAACATCATTCATCCGATTGTTTTTGAACTGTTAACTGATGTTGGATCGCGTTTGACTTTGTTTAAAATTTTCATCCAACGTTGTGCACGTTGGACAATTTTAGACTCGTTTCAACGGCACAAGGATAGACTTTATTTCCAAGTCGGCCGTCAAAATTGAGTATTGCAAAATTGAGTATTGCAAAATTGAGCGGCTGAGTGCTGAGAACCACAGCCAACACTCAACAGAGTACAAGTTTCTTTGATATTGAAGGTATTCCAGGATTTGTAAAACAATTCTGTAAACAGACTTTAGTGTTTACTTTATTAAAATGAATCAATTATTTGTATAATGATTCACCTCAAAAGTTCTAGAAGACATCATTAATTACTGAAAATACAAGCAGCGATTCTTCAAAACTTGGCATTCTGTGTTGCGTGGGCCAATACAATGACGTGTGACCAACATTACAATGTACGCAAAATACATCACGAAAAAACGTAAACGAAACTCACCGAAATCCGTTTTTCAACTGCACACAGAGTAACGATATTACTTCATGAATGTGTAGGTGGAATTTATTATTTCATAATGATACATATAAAATTGTCTATATGAAGAGTCATGTTAAATAACATACAAGTGTTTATATTATTGTTGGTTTTTAAACTGATCACGTCCAAACAGCCAAATACGCGCTTCATGTTACAAACTCTGTGCCAAAACCGTGAGTGTATCCGATGCGTCGGTGGCTCGGTGCCCACGCTACCGGGGGGAGGGGACTCGAATAACTCAAGTACTGGAATTGCACGTTCTTGGTTTTCTTGGCCTTGGTATACGTACTGTAAAAACTTCGCAGAGTTTCAGAGTTCATGGAAACGACCCCTGATACTGTCATGCGACTGCTAGCAACGAACATAACAATCTGGTAACAAATACTTTAAAACTGGCGCGTGGATATAAGCTGCAGCATTACAGCCACTGTAATTTTATGATTTTCACAGTATATCATATTAATCAAGAGATGGTAGTCTGTTGAATTTAAAGCCAGAAAACCTGCCGAAAATGGTTTTGATGTAAAACAGAAAAGAACTGAAATGGTGTATTACTGAGGCCTTAAATACTGCGAAATGAATATAAATCGCCAATTTTATATTGATACACAGCGGGATTTTTTAAATTAGGTCATTTAGTTTTTAAATATTTCAATGAGTGCTGAAAGAGATAAGGAGACAAGAATACGTCATTCATGCCAAAGCGCAAACATAATTCATTGTTCAGAAGCGCAAACATAATTGACTTTCCTATGTTTTTTACTATAAAAATCCCGAATTATGGTATCCAGTCGTGAGTTGTCCGAAATGTGGGAACAACGTCTCCGCGATAAATGAGTTTTCCCACCGTGGAAGAAGAATAACTCGCAAAAGCAGCGGAAAACTGGTCTTAAAAAATTGTTTTTGCGGTATTTCTACGAGTGTGGAATAACTTCTGCGAATTGCAATAACTGTGTATCATCTGTACCCTGTACTCTGTGAGTCAATATAATTATATTCCCAATATCCGGTTTGAAACGTGGACATCAATGTTCCATATCCCCTCCCCCCGCTGCCAGCATCCCATTACCACTTCAAAATACAAAATACGATCTTCCTGCCACCTGTTTCATATTTAAATAATCTCGATAAGACAAGAGCTCGCACTTGGTGTCTAATCAGTCTTCGTGAAAACATCTAAACAAATGACCAAAGAAACTATAAGTGAGACGAAGCAATTAAACAATGCTGAAATCATTAAATCAATTTACAAAGTTTTTATTTATATTCATTGTGGTTGCACGTATCAGCGGTGGTCAACTGAAGAAATCTAATCCTAAGGAAAGACGTGCAAGTGTACAAACCAATATGACAACAGCACAGCCGAATGTACAACTTGCTTCAAGCACAACAAGAATTAGTACGTCAACAAGTGCTTCATCCAACATGAGCAAAGAGACTACAAAGTCTACAAAATCATTGCCTGCCAGACAAAATACTAGTGCACCTATGATTCGAACAAAGTTTTTTATTTTATTAGTTATCCTTTGTCCTATTGTTGCACTAGTTTTGTTTAAGTATTGCAAGAGGAAAAACTCGGATGGTAAAGTAACTCAAACAGTGGAAGTACGACCAGTTTCTGCCACCTCAAGTCAATGCGAGGTTCAAACTGTCAGCCCTTTATACTGCGAGGTTGATATCTTTCAATTCCCGAGCAGGGAACAAACTTCTGAAACAGTCGAGACAGATATCGATGAACCTGCCGACGTTGAGGGTAATTTAGCGGATGAATATTACTATCCTGAAAATATTGATGATGAATATGAAACTATGAATCCAATCAATCCACGTCAGGCCAGTGGGGAATACGCGTGCGCGTATGATCATGTAAATATAAACGCGGGTTATATGAACGCTTTTCCGTGCAAGCGACCAACAAGCGGAGTTGAAGACGACGATTATGAATACCCACAGAACCGCAGGAGTTCTTCAGATAACGAATATCGTTATGCGTATGACTGGCTGGATCCTGATGCTAGAGTGGCCGCATTGAGCGCCTGTGAACCTGTGCAGGCACATACCTCTCATGACAAAGATGAAGTCAATGACAATTTTTATGAAAATTATCAAACATTGTCGCATCAAACATTGTCACGAGAAAGTCTCCATGAAAACGAAAACGAAACGGTACCTCTTGAATATGTTGCCGTCATGTGAAACACGTCAACGTTTTGTTTCACTCTCATTTAAAATGGGACGGTGAAAAATCCATTGTTGAAACTGACACGACTCACCGCGTATTCCAACTGCTGACACAAGTACTTGTGAAAAGAAAAACATTAAATTAAATTATTTTACATTGACTGTAAGACAAATATTTAATTGGCTGAGGAATAATCTTAAATTGTACGTGATTATATGAGGGACATTAATTGGTCACATACATTATCTGGTTAATTAAACCGCGTCGTCACCAGCTGAAAAATTGCTTTTGTATATATAAATCATTTTATCATTGTAGTTGTTGTGCTATCGTAGAAAGGCCAATTCGCTCGAAACGTCGAGGTAGTTTGATCGTCTAATCCTTCAAGCAATATTTGCGAACGTCTTTGCACAAGATATGAATATTTTTGTGAACGTGCTGAATGCGAAGGTCAGTTGACGTTTCCAGCGCAGGTCTTATAAACCCTCTAAAGGCCTTTGCTCGAAACGTCGAATTTCACTTTGTATTTTTCAGGTAGTCGCATCCCCACCAACGAAAGCTTGTTATTATTGGCGCTACCTACACTGGCACAGACACTACATGAATATAAAGGTATAGCTAGAGTATATGTTACTTCTGCCGGCTCAGGAATTAAGTATATGTTTCCAATACGTTAAGGTTTGTAGCGAAGAAGGTAGCTATATCAGCATGCTTACAAAGATGAAGAAAAAACAGTTATGTATTTTCGCCCTTTTTCTCATATAGATGCTGTTGTAGTTACTTTTGGTTAGTTGATCCCGGTAAATGTAATTATACGTCGTGACCGATACACAAGAGTCAATATTTACCGGTATAGCTAGTATATACAAAACCAATATACGAGCCAATATATACACGTTTCATTCGGTGATAGCATGATACAGATGTTTATTAGTATAGCTGCACTGGTCAGACTGAGACAATCGCATCTCATTATGGTAGTCCAATAGACTAGAGGGAGATAAAACATGATGTAATAGAAAAGGCATCTTCAATTTTTTGAAAAATCCAATGTTAATCAGAATTTGTTTATTTTGCAATCCAATCTTTCATTATTGAATGTGTCAAAGGTGATGTACTCGCCCAATGCCCGCCCACGTCGTGGGCTGATCACGATTATATTTTACCGATCACGTATCGAGAACAGCAAGGGCAAATATAAAGTATTATATTGTTCAGTAATATAATGGAGCCTTGCTAGGGGGCTTCGGTGGCGAAGTGGTTAGCGCACTTGCCTTTCACCTCTAAGGTAGCTGATTCAAGCCTCAGTGAGGACTTCTCAATGTGACTCGAACTCAGACCTCATGTGAAAAGAGTAAAAAGTCAACGCTCTGCGGAAAGTCGTGGGTTTTCTCCGGGTACTCCGTGTTTCCTCCCACAGGGAAAGTTGACATGGTGGTTTAGGCCCATAAGGTCTGGAGGCAGATCATTAATGAGGTATGGACTAATAGCGGCTGCTCAAGCGCCATTTGTAAGCTCAAAGTCTACCTCGGTCTGCTTCACGTCAGTCCGGTTCTATCTATTCATAATGTAACCAGTCACTGAAAAGCCCTGATAGGGAGTGTGCTGTGAAATGTCTGTAATCTGTAATTGCTGCAAGGCTCTATTATATTACTGAACTATATAATATTAATAACACAGTAACGATATTATATGAACACGTAGGTGGAGTAAAATACATACAAAATGGTCTTTGTGCTTGTTAATCATATTATTATTGGGTTTCAACATCATGATATCAAAGCGAATTAGTATGCCCGTTGAGCGAATGCCCACGCAACAGGGGATGGGGGTTTCAATAATTCGAGCTGGTACCTTCAATGGGTAGCTTTCATCTGGATCCAGTTCAGTGTTCATCTCACCAGAGTCTCAATAATAGAATATTTGACCTTCATGATTGCTTGGAACCCACGTATATTGGAATGAACATGCAAATATACCTTTATGGTTTCTTTCCTGTTGACCTAAGTCCTGTTAAAAATAAAAGACTTCATTCAAAGGTCATGGGAACATGCTGCATGCTGTGAGTACAATAATGCACCCTCAGAATTTTGAGTAAGATTACAAATATTTATCAGTGAGCAAATTCACTCAATTTCTTGCGTAACATTTCAAATTTACTCCGATGTTTTGAATAGAAACTAGTAAGAGCCTCCACAGACTAGCGGAATAATTGTCGACAACTTTCGTTGTTGTCGACGACAAAATTTTGTCGACGACTAAATATCAAGTGTGTGACAAAAATTGTCGATAAGAATTTGTTAAATTTTTAATAGTCGACAACAAAGTAGTTTTCCTTTTGCGAAGGCACACAATTTCTCGTTTTCACAATTTCCACTCGTGTTGGTATAACTGTATATCAACACAGAAAATGTTTTAAATTTGTTAAATATAACACATTCGCCCAGTTTCGATGGTTATCGGAATCTTAGCCTGCTCGCAGCCTGATATTTTTCCCTTTCAAAATATCAGGCTACGAGCAGGCTATCGGAATCTCTGAGTTCTAAGACTTAAAACGGTTGAGGCGTTCAGATGGCCAATATCAAAGTCGTTTGTTCTGCCCTGCATTCATCCAAAGCGAAACAACAAACTTGAAAAATTTTTACTCTATTCACAGGCAGAGATCAGGACAAAAATATAATGTAGTCTTCAGTAAAGCCTAGTTAGTTCATCGGTGATGTTCTCATGGTCCATGTCAGTGATTAATGAAGATGAAAATCCTTCCCGATAGACAAATAATTTTATACACAATGACCAATTGACAATGGAGCTGGTTGAACATCGCCGACGAATGACGATATATGAAAGCCAGTCTTAAGGATCACAGAATGGGGATGTTAAGAATGATTCTGTTTCGAAATCGACCGTCACCTCTACGAGAGCTAATATCAGGGGCGTAAATGTGGGGGGGTGTAGGGGGGTGGTTCACCCCCCCAGAGAAATGATCCAGTCGGTCTCAAACGAAGTGCAGTCGGTCTCAAAATTATGCTGTTTACATGCAGTGCTTTGCGAAGCAAATTAAATATTTTCGAAACTCGAGATAGACTCAAACTATTTAGTATTGAGTTGGAAATTTGCTCAGAAATAATATGAAGAAATATTACGTACTTATTTCGCGAGTTTATGAACGAATTATCAGTCAAAACACGCGCAAAGGGATGAAGTTTCCATTTACTTTCCAAACATGGAGATATCTCATGGAGATATCTATATGTCACACTTACGTGAGGCACTCTTATTTGGAATTTAGGTTCTGCAAGGTTATTCACGGGTGATATTCTAAAGCAAAAATTTCAAACCCCCCAAATCAGACTCCAAAATGCGATGAATCTCGATCAAAATAGCTAACATTAGTTACAATATTTCTCGGGTCCCTAAACTATATTTTTAAGATGCAAAGTGCAAAAACGAATTTCTAGCCGAGTTATATTAGGAATTATGTTCACATGTAACACGATATGCATATGCATTTTGTTACCAAAGAGTTTTATGTGCTTTCTGCAATCACGAAATTCGATCAGTGAACGACGCGCTGGTTTATCTGAAATCACGGAGCGAAAAATTGTTTCAACTTACTAGGCGATGTTTCCAATTGTTGCTTACAGTCAGGCCCATAACTAGGTATATGAGTCAATCGAGTTCAAGTTCAATGACAGACTGTAGTTCTCTCCATGTAAAGAAGCATTATTCTTGCCCTACAGTAACGTAAGAAATGGGAGGCTGTGTGGGTACACAAGTACCCCAATAACAAAAGTGCGGGCCAGCGCCCAAATATTACAATATTTATTGTAATATTACAACAAATATTACATACTTTTTTATTATGCACCTGATCAATGATGTTCGACCAAAAATAGTTAATTGTAATTCTTAGCCTCAGGATTGGGGGCAAACTACAGTATAAGATTATAGTCATTGCGTCACTGTTGATGAAATTGAGTTTTCGTTTGAACTGCTCCCAGAATGCAGGAAATAGCGTTTCTAAGGCTTAGAAAATCAAAAATTTTCTGTGGGAGCATGCCCACAGACCCCCTACCCCAAGAAGTGTCTCGGTCAATCAAAAATCCTATAGTTGCGCGCCTGACAGTTCCCGTAACATCCGCATCAGCCGAGCCGGCGCAGCTTTTCATAGCTGAAATCAGTGAAAACTGTTATGCGTTCAGTAATGAACCAGGAACGCCTTGGTGAACTCTTGACTCTCGCGTGTGAGCGCGATCTAATCGATCTTGACGAAATCGCTAATCCGTGATCAAACCTGACTACGCGCAGACACTTAACGTTTCACAGCAAACTGTACGTGTTCTTGCAAAATTCCTAATAAATGCCATCAATTTCCATGTTTTGTACTCAATTTTATTGCAACACACCAACTCACCAAGAGTCGGTCTGGATTCACATTTCAGTGGTAGGTCGGTCTCATTTCGTGATTACACCCTCCCAGTCAAAATCGATATGTCCGCCCCTGGCTAATATAATGAGTATTGCAAATAACGTCTTTCACGAATTATTTACCCTGCCATGCAACTGTCGGTGTATGCTTTTCGCAATGTATTAAAATGGAATTCTACTTGTATAATGATTAAATGCTATAAAAAATGATGAGAAACATCATTGGTGAAAATAGAAGCAGTGACTTCTTCAAAACTTTACTGGCATTTTCTGTTGCGTGCATGGGCCAGTTTGCGGTGTATTGAACAAAGCCAATCTACTATGTAGCCTATGACGTACGGCCACTTTGGTACTTCACAATGTAGGCAAAATACTTCACGAATAACGTAAACCCCACTCATAGCACGTGATCGGCAAACGTCCCAATGACAATGTATTTAAAACCGTATACTGAAGCCCATTTAAGTTAAAACATAGTTGAAACACTCATCGAACCTTTATTTTGTTAATCTAGAACTTGAAATGTTCCCCGTAACAATTCGTTGCTGCCAACTCCAATCAACTCACGGCATCATCTTTTGATCGGGTCTTAAATCCGACATCTCCAACATGTTTTTGCATGAAACATAAAAAAACGTGCACCGATGAACATTGGAGTCGATTGTATATATGCGGTTTGTATATACAATTTTGCATCATCTTTTTTCAACTCGTCAGTATTTTTAGGTTATTGAATGAGTAGCTTTTAAAGAAAACTGTGTTTTATTTTATCTTAAAAACCAAGTATACACTTTTTGTCTTACCTGCTCATGCAGGTGCGCGGCAATAATTATTGCGGCAGCAGTGCACGAGGTATATTATTAATTTAACGGAGAGACTTGAATTGTCGCACTCTGGTAAACTATATATATGTAATTATAGGTATATCTAATTCAAAATTGTGAGAGGAACGGAACTCTTGTCTTCAATTGTTCCCGTTCGCCGTATGTTATATATGTTTAAGGTATATAAGTGGTAATTAGTGGTAATACTATTGTAACAAGCTTTGGTTGGTAACTTGCTCGAAACGTCGAAGTTCTTATATTTTTTCAGGTAGTTGCATCCCTACCAGACGAAGGACCTTCGCTCGAAACGCAGTCGAAATTCTCTTTATATTTTCCAAGTAGTCGCACCTCTATACCAACCGGAGTGCATGTTAATATTATTGGCACTACCTACACTGGCACAGGCAGTTAATTCTATATAAGCGTGGAATATTTTTTGACAATGGCAAGGACTTCTGTATTATTCTGTCGTCTATATACTTTGTGCATCAATATAATTATGATCACAATGTAAATGATATAGATGTTCCACCAGCATCCTATTACCACTTCAAAGATAAATTATAAAGTCTATAAATACGATCTTCCTGCTATACTTGTTTCGTATTTCAACAGGCTCGACAAGACAACAGCTCGCAATTGGTGTCTACTTGGTCTTTATGAAAACATCTAAACAGATGACAAAAGAAACAAAGTGAGACGAAACAATTAAACGATGCTGGAATCATTAAATCAATTTACAAAGTTTTTGTTCATACTCATGCTGCTTGCACGTATCAGCGTCAGTCAACCGAAGGAATCTAAGGATGCTGCGAAGTGTGCAACCAAATGTGTCAACGATATGGAGAAACTGGCTCAATTAAAGCAAGCGTGTAAAACAATGACTTTGTCAAAATGTATATTCGATGCAAGAACGGAGAGGATCCCTAAATCAGGCAGGAGATGCTTCCGTGTTAATGCCCATCGAAGTTCAACGCAAATTGAGTGTGTTCAAGTCCTTCGGAATACTACATCGCAAATAAAGTATTGTTCTACATTTGTGTATTTTTGCATTTACCAGAAAGATGGTGCTCATTCCATTCAAAAAAGAGATATAACGGCGGAACAGAATATAACAAACACTCCACGTGCAAATACAACAAAATTTAGTCCTACTGCAAAAAACATTAGCCTACATCGTGCTTCAGCACTGGCCACGAGCCCAAATTCGGCAAAAACATCGACAACAACGACACAGCCGACTGAACAAAGTACTTCACACACATCGTCTACACCAAATACTGCATTCATGACTCTAAAAGACTTTTTTGGGCATTGGAAGAATGCTTGTTACGTTGCTGTTGGTGGATTAGTGTTGATCCTTGCAATCGTAGTAGTTTTGTGTAAGTGCCGCAAGAGAAAAAACTCTGGTATTAATACAGTGGAAATACGATCAGTCGTTTCTCCGACCTCAACACTGGGTGAAAGCGAGGTTGAAAGTATCAAACTAACCACTGAACTAACTCATACAGTAGAAGTACGGTCAGTTTCTCCGACGCCAACACCTGTTTCAAACGAAGTTCAACTGAATAGCCCTATATACTGTGAAACAGATACCTTTCAATTCCCGAGCAGCCAACCACGCGGAGAAACAAATGAAACAGTCGAGGCAGAAGTGAGTGAACCTACCGACGTTGAGAATAATTCAGAAGATGAATATTGCTGTCCTGAAAATATCGAAGATGAATATGAAACTATGAATTCAGTCGTTCCACCTCAAGCCAGTGGGGTATACGCGTACGCGTATGACCATGTAAATATAAACGCGAGTTATGTGAACACCTTTCCACACCAGCAACAAACAAGCGGAGTTGAAGACGACGATTATGAATACCCGCAGAACCGCAGGAGTTCTTCAGATAACGAATATCGTTATGCGTATGATTGGCTGGATCCTGGTGCTAGAGTTGCAGCATTGAGCGCCAGTGAACCTGTGGAGGACGAGAATTATTATGAGAATTGTCAAACATTGTTGCAAAATAATCTTGAAAAAGAAAACGAAATTGTAACTCTTGAATACGTTGCCGTCCTGTGAGACATGACGTTTTATAAAACATCTTTACATGCCTGTTCAACTGGCGAATTGTTTTCAATGCATGGAAAATGGAACGTGGGATATGATTAATGAGAATCCATTGTTAAAAACACGACTTATATGCAGAGTGGACCTTTGCACGTATATGCCAACTAGCTGACACAAAGTGCATTGACATATATGGACATTGATTCGCTGACTGTACAATCAAATCCTGCTTTAGTCAATTAAATTTCGCAACGCAACGTTGGTTAAATTAATTCCTAAATTTCCATATCCACCGCATCGTAACCGACCTAAGAATTTACTTTTGTATACATAGAAATCATTAGCGCCACATTAGAACTTAGAAAACACAGAATTACTATATATTTCGTTACGATATGACGTGACACGGCAATTTAATTTCAAGTATACTTGTGAAACAGGGTGTGTATACTTGCTGTATATATTGTGTATATAAATATAGTTGTTATCGGAAACTGTATTGTAACTTACACACCCCCACCTGTTTGGGCGAATACAGTTAAGTTCCTGTCAGTTTTCAGTTCCTTGTAGTTGAACTGTTGAAGCCGCTAATTTTTGCCATTGAATGTGTGTAACTGTAATTGTAACTGTTGTGTTATCATTACCTTCTCTGTGGTCGTCAATGTATTCAGCTTAAATGAAGTACGAGCGCTGATTCGCCGCTTGTTTACACCATCAAAATTTCTTTGATCAAAGTATGACATTTCAAATCGAACATTTGATTCCAAACAAAGAGGTCACAAGCCTCTCAAGACACTAGAATTATGTAAATCAGTTATATTGCCAAATTAAACGACTGGGATCAACATTTTCTTCACCAGTTTATTCTAGACTCCGGCACAGACATTATAAGTGAAAACATTGTTGGGAAAATATCCCTGGAAAGTGATTCCCAAATATCACGGCAGTTGCCAGCTTTTTTGAAAGCAATATTAAGAATAACATCCTGAGCGTAGGTGGTGATCTATCGTGGTGATGAACAGTAAAGGAAGAGTGCAGTGGCGCAGGAACCGTGGGCGGGGGGGGGGGTCACGGGGGCACATACTCCCCCGAATTTTTCTCATTGTGCCATTTTCTAAATACAAGAGGTGCGAAAGTTCTTGTTATATTTTTCTAGCAGTTTGATCTTGTAATCTTTTAAGCAAAATATGAAACTGGTTATTCAAAAGATATGAATATTTTTGTGAGCTGACTGAGTGTAAAGTAGCCTATATCACGTCTGCTATGGTTTGTTCAGTACACGTCTGCGAAGGAGGTATACACATTGTTTTGGCTAATAAAACCTATTTTCCACTAAACCAGTTTGTTCAGCGAAGCAAATATTTCCCTTATCGCCATCCACTTTGTCGCCATCGCAAGCGATGCCTACAAATCGTGGAAGGGTCTGAAATATTAGATTAAGATTAAGCTATTCTTCAATATGTTCACCTCAGAACTTGAACATTTGCGCGTGAAAATCCTTCAAAGCCGCGTCATTTGGGCCTGCTTGTGGTTGGAGTTAAAGCCGTGTTTGCACTCCATGGCTGCCGGGTCTTGGTCATGGTATACTAGTTTAACCAATCAGCGTAAGCCAACTTAGACCAAAGCCAGGTCGATGCCAAATTACCTAAAAGACTAGGAACCTTTTACTCGGCAAAACTTGTTCTAAAGACAGCAAATGAACGCAGAATTAGTGTTAATGTTCACAAATAAATGAAATACCTGCTCTGGGAGTCTCTTTGACTATTTCTACATTCGGGCATTGGGATTTAGCCATTCACATTGGGCAGGGAAATCTGATATAGTCTTTTGCTTACCGAGAAACTGAGAGGAGAGTCTTATTTCCTTAGTACCATTTTACGTCATGACACTTTAAATATCGCTTTATAATTTATTTATAATTCGCGCCATTTATGTGTTTTGCACATATTATATTGTACTATAAATAAAGTGAAGTATACTCAATAAATTTGACTAAGCGTTTTTATTGGTATTTACTATTTAGTTACGTACCATAAGATGATGGTACTCGTCAGATAAGTTAGCTTATTAAATGAGCCACATTAAATTTAGTATTTTATACTCGGAGAAAGCGTACAACTAGCCTCCTCCGCGGGCATCTTTATGGGTTTTAGCCTGCGAATGGGTGTTCGGGGAAAAAATCTGATGATCACTGGTCCGCTGTCAATCGTTGACGTGTCCATGTCGTGTTAAAGTTAGTTGACGTGTGCATGACGTGTACAGCTCAGGGAAATTTGAGGACACGAAGTCCTGTGAAGTTACATCTGGTATATACTTCAGATCTGTGACCCGATTCCCTATCACGTCACCTGCATTGGGGCGTAGGAAGGAAATGACATTAACGCTCAAGGACAATAAGCTTAATGTGAAGGACAGCTTTTCCTTTTGACAAGGCCATTCTTCATTTTTCTTTCTTTCTTTCTTGGAAAAAACCCAACTTGTTGCATTTCCCGCAATTCATAGTAATAACAATTCTTATAACCAAATACCAGATTTTGTGTATATGACAGTACATCCATAAAACTATCATGCACTACATGACATACATTTTCATACACGCATACAAAACTTAATAAGGTAATCTACATTAACAGTAGTTAGCTACATAAAAGAGTCGTGATTTCATGCCTTGCGGAGCAATATAGCATGCAAAAAGGATCTTGATGTTAATTAAGATGAATATTTTAGTTTGCAGAGACTTTGAATTGAGAGTTTTTCAATAACTGGGACAGTGTAGCAAATGACTAAATTGTGGCTACATTATTTTATACCATATCATTATTTTATACCATTTTGTGACAACTACATGTAATCACCCACCTGTGGCCAGGCACAATGGGTATTGCGTGGTAGGACAGTGGTATATATAATATTTCACTGCACTCGCCTTTAGGATTTGTATGTGCATTCTAGGCAGCAAGCATAACATGCACAAAAGCATTTTACGACTTTTAGCGTATAGTGAAGCTAGGAGACGAAAAAATTTGAATATTGGGCAATATCAAGTGGCCATGCACAAACACGCTTTGCAGAGTATTTACGTACAGGAATTAATTCAAGTGTGTAAAAGACTAATTATATGCTAACTACATAAGGGTTTACAACTAACTCATGTATTTCAATACATTAAGGCTTAAACTTTCAGTTTCATAAGTATTGTTTGATTGGTTACCACCACACCCAGTAAATTGAGCGCAATTCCCGTGATTGTGTGATATTGACGATCAAATTCTGTTTACTTAAGGTGATACGATATGATTCATAGACTGGTGATATATAAAGTAGGAATTACCTGTTTGCCTAAGTTGTCATCCGAGGTCATCTGAGACGCGAATGGGTGGTGTTGCAATTTCCGTCTTCCCGTATTTGACAGTAAAGTTTCAGACAGGAATTTGGTGCATGAACTGCAGTTTTAAATTGAACTCTGCTACAGTATGGAAAGCAAACCATCTCAAACTATCAGACAAATGTTATTGTTTTTATGGCTGACTTCACTTTGTATCCATATTCATTGTATGAATGTTTCATTGGATAGTATACCACTTGCTGTGCTGAAACAACAAACCAGGAAGCAAGAATCATGCTTTCAGAACTTGCATATTGGGGCGAGGAAAGCAGAATCGTGCGGGAAGAACATATACTATCCTGAAATAAAAACAGTCCGTCGAAATCAAAAGATATGTTTTACAGATACAAAACAAAACCACTTCGACAAAGGGAATAGAACTAAGAATACCACTCTAAGTGTTAGAGGTTGTCAAATATTACATCAAGAAGAGATCACCAACGTTGTCAAAATATCATGTTCTTGGCTGGAACAAGGCTACCAAAAGCTCGATAAAGACGAGATATTACTAGCTGTGGTATTACGCTGCAACAGTACAACAACAAAACAACAAGAACAACTGTGCTTAATAATAACCTCTCGTAGCTTGTCGGACACCGACGGTGATGTAGGAATGGATAGTTGCCTGTCTAATGTATCCCGTGGTGTCACACCAAAGCCCACCCCTCCAACATCAAATTCAAAGGGGAGTTCCTTTTTAGGCTACATAAAAGAGTATATGACACCAGTTTTAGCCGTATTAGGCGGCGTACTTTTTATAATAATGGTTTTGTTAGCGAATCGTATTCGTAAACGACACATAAGTAGCAGAGATGAACCTTCAGAGACGGAGGCTGAAGAGTCAAACACCAGCCAGGAAGGTGGATTGTATCATGAACCAAATCATACGTACATCGACATAGACGCGGAGGAGAGTAGGCCCAGGAATTACGCGTATGCCTATGGTCATTTCGAACCAACCACTCCCAGAAGTAATGTTCATGCCAACACATTAGAGTCTGGGAAAAGGCATAATTATATGAACATAACACAACTCCCAGATAGAAGAAAAGACAATGGAGCGGATTACATGAATGTGGATAAAGAAGATGATATGGACTACATGGAAATGAAAAGTAGTTACCAAACATTAGATAGATCGAGTATGATTGATGATAATGCTATGTACCAGGGATTGGTACAGCAAAAAGATAGAGTCCGCCCTAAAGTTGCACCCAAACCCAGTTACCTGCGCCGGGTGGAAGAGCCGGAACTTTCTTATGTAAAAGTGTTATAAAAAATAAATGAATTGATATTTAAAATTATTAAGTACAAGACTGAACATTTTTAACAAAGACTCGGCTATTAATGAAGAACAAAACTGATTGTTTTGCTGAAAGTAAAATGTTTTTTGTAAATACTTATGAATAGATTTGTTGTGCATACAGTAACATATTCATACTGATTTAAGAGAGGACTTGTATATATATAGTAATAGTTGTAGTAAAACTACCTTTGAATCAAGTTAGAATTAAAGAGGACAAAAATACGATGCAATATATTCTGTATGTTTTCACTTGTCTTTTCGTCTTAGGATAAACTGTACTTACAAAAGTATGACAAACAATATATACTTGAAGTAATGTGTATATCTATCCATATCTTGTCCCTTGATTCCTGTATAAATCACCATGAAGGTATTTATAAAATATTAATGAAATATTCTCCATGCAGTGCAGGCCGCGGAAATTTACCGCGTAAGTCTCACTCCTTATTGACATGAAAGTAATGTTTTCATAAGGAGCTAGTGTCTGAATTCCTGACCGTCACAAAAAATTATTGAGGAGAAATGAGGTTCGTTCTGGTTTTGTACGAGGTGAAACAATGTTAAATTTACTAAAGCTTTAAAGATTTGCGGCTCGCCCACAATTGACTCAGTTGGTATAGAATGTCAGTCACGTGGTTTGCGGGAATTACCGAATGACCATGAATACGTACTCGTCATCTTCCCGTCTATTTTCTAAAGGGTGCCGGGTTATGCCGGGTGGCCACGACAACTTTCTCCACTCTATTTTGTTATCACATGTTGGCTCAGATAAACATCTAGATCATCGTCGATGCCTAACACAATCAACGCATCCATCGTTATCTCGTCTGCCCCCTCTTCCTTGTTCCTATATGTACTTGCCTGATCCCTGCTGCTTATCTCAGAAGTTCATTATTTCGACCTACATATAGTACTACATCCTTGTAACTTCTCTCGCAGAAATTGCTGTGAATATATTGTATCATATATTCCTCTAATAATAACTAACAATTTTTGGATTAGTTAACTTAGGTTGAATCCGATTCGCGTGTTGTCATGCAACCATGCATATTTTATATATTGTTATATGATGATCCACGCCCGTCTCAAATGAAGAAGCAGCCGGAAAATATATTGAACACACGCCATATTATTGTGGGAGAATGGGATAAGACTGGTGACTGGTCAATCTGAAGTGACTCATTATGGCCTTTATGTTTTCATCCTGCAGGCGTATATATAAGACCGCTGACTATTTTGAAACTAATTCAGTTAGATGCGGAAAACCAATTTTTAACCTGTCCCAAAAAATACTGTCGACTGAGTATATACGGTTATGATGAGTGTTATCAAATTTTCATTGGTTATTTAAGTCGGTAATGAGGAAATATCGTATAAATGTTAATCAAAAACAAACCTCTCATTACCATTCATAGTGTCTGATATTGGCTTTTATAACACAAGAAAGGAAGTTTAGTGCTTATAACCTGCGTAGTTTTGTACTTATAAACTATGGAAACAACACAAAAATAATTTAGCCCCCTTAATCATGGACTTGCCCACAAGTCGATCTCGAAAACTGGAAAGGACTTTGGGAAAGTCTAACTTAATTATTGTCTAACAGTTTATATCTTTCAAAATTTTATATGTCTGACCTTTTCGACATTGTGCTGGTTTTGAATATCTTATCAGCTGTTCTTAATTCTTAGAACGTACATGTTGTTTTCCAAGAATAAAGGTCAAAGTATACATGGATGTGTGGTATCAATTAAATGTTTTGAGGCCGCGTGCATGAGTGCATTCAAGCTTGTCCAACAGCTGCCTTTCGAAAAGAATCTTTGTTTGGTATCTCATTCCGTTTTTAGCTTGTTTATACCACATGCAATCGATCGTTTGTGTCTTTGATCTTTGTTTAAATATTCCTTAATGCGTTCTTGTGCCACTGGTGAACGCACGTTTATGATGTAGCAAGGTTGAGAGAAGATTTTGAAGTACTGTGGTTTACAAGTGTTTACAGTTCTTATATTAAAACAGTGATGTTGTCAAAAAGTCGATTGAGCAAGACCGTTTCCTTGATATGTTTACTACAGTATGTGCTGAGTTGTGTGGGACAAAGCGAAGTCGTCTTAAACGTCACCAGACAGAACGACGGGGATTTTTATACACGTAGTATTATTCCGAATACAGACAACTCGAGTTGCGATAGTAGGTTCACTATGACCGTTCAGTCGTTCTCGAAGGAAAATTGTACAGTGCGATGCAAATGCAATACGAAGCACAAAACATACAATATGAGACAAGGAAGATGCGCTGCCGATAAAGACATCTTAAAAGCTGAGAATTGTAATGGATCGTTTCTACCAAGTTTTGGAGAACCGCTGTACGACTTATCCAAACCAGGAAAGGCGCAGCTAAGAGTTTCGTTCCTCAATAACCAATCGCTGTATTGTAACATTTCAAAAATAGCATACTTTAATGGGACAAACGAAATTGACTTTAGGGATAGCGGTTTTAACATTTCTGGTGTCTTAAATGGCTCTGCTTTGCTTACATGGAACCCTCAAAATTCGCCAATTTTATCCAAGCTTGAACAATTTGGCTACCTCTTGAAAGTTCGTGTATTATGCAATATGACGTCACAACAACAACGCAGCTGCTTCATGATAAAAAGTCGGGGAAGAATTGTTAAATATACCGACCTAACGCTAAAAGAACATCGTAAACCTCACGGCGGTATTTGTGTGCCTAAACGATCAACAAAGTCTGCAAATGTGATGCTTTTGTACATCCTAGTTGGTGTTGGATGTGGTTTAGTTCTTATTGTTATTGTAGTCGCGTGTTTTGCTTGCTATAAACGTCGGTTGCCGGCAAGACATGCCATTCCACGTATTTCGTCGCGAAACAATTCTGCTGGGACACGGAAGGTGTTCAAAACACGGAGTGTTACAAAGAACAATGAGCCTACAACGCCTGCAATTCACGATTTGGTTTTCAACGAACTTTCCTGGGACGGCGATGGGGGCTTCTCAAATCGTGCTCTAGCCGACCCGAGAGCTCTAGACGTTGATTATGGAATTCCTATTGATTTTGGTACGCTACCCCGGCTTCAGTCGACAACGTCTGTGGACAGCAATAAAAACTCAATTTCTCCCCTGACTGCATGATATAGGGGAACCCGGGAACGTCGAACATGATATATATAGTTATCAAGAGATGATATTATATAGTTTATTCATGAAAGCAAAGATACATTTGAGAAATATTTTTCTGCGTTCGTATGCATACGCGGTGATCAACCTATTAAGAGAGACAATAAAAATATATTTAATTACGATAAATATATGTGGTTGAATTCAACCAGAATTTTGTAAAATCTCGTGTTTTATACGAGAAGAAACTATCAGGACAATAAAATATCGTCGTTAAATATGTACATACGACAGGAACAAAACATTTTAATTATAACGGACACGTGTTGAGCCATCTTTGTATTTATATTTTCGAGAGTAACTGAATTGAAATCATAGCCATAGGTGGCCTGCATTATGCGGCATTAAGTTAACAAAAGAAGGTTTGCTTCGTATTTTTATTCCAAGAATATAGGTTACTTCCCCAAGTGAAAAGACCAAAGAGTAAAGTTATATCATTTCTATTTCAGTCTGTTGTGAAAAGATGACAAGGTCATTAAAGGTGGCTGATATTGTGTGGGAAAGCAAACGCAAGTTTTTTATTGCATTTGAATACGTGTATTGATTACATGTTCACGAAATGTTGAAAGATTGCGCAAATATATATTCTTGAACTGTCAGTGCCAGTGTGGGTAGTACCAATAATAAGAACGCTTCGGATTGGTAGGGATGCAATTACCTGAAAAATATCAAAGTGACTTTTCTTGTATTTTTCAGGTAGTCGTGTCTCTATCATTATCAATCCGAAACTTTCAAATATAAAGTGTTGGTGGGATTGGTCGGCTTCCCTCAAAACCTTCGCTACCATTACGGTTTCACTCTGTCCCCTGCGTCTTTCACAGGAAGAGCGAAACCATACTACTGAACAGAATAGATATATACTACTATCCGTTTCAGGGAGGAATCTGATTGGCCGTTGACATGGAATGCACAGCTCGATCTTAGCCAGGATTCCTGGCTTCCGGCAACGGATTATACGACAGAGCCTCACGTTCCTTCCCGAGGATCGCAGGCTCGGGGAACGAGATTGGTCGACAAGAGGTTTAGAGTGGACTGTATTCCTGCGAACAGGCTCTTTGGTTAGGTTAAAGCCCGCGCATCTACGAAAGTTTCCGAACTGTTTACGATAAATGTTTTTATCGGTTAGCACTATTTTCCATCCAGCAAACCACACTATCGATTTTCTAAAGTCGTTCTTTTTGGACTTTTTTATTAATTCGGTCAGGGTTAGAGTTAGGGTTGCGGTTAGGGGTTAGAGTAGGGGTAGGGTTGAGTTAGTTTCTCGACGGATTTGAACATATCTCGACGGTGGTTCTGAAGGAGAGTGGAGGACATGGCATAGGGACATGGGGGGACGGGTCCCCATTGTCTGAGAAATAGCATGGTGCCACCTTAATTTGAATCGATTCGACCAATCAAAAGCCAAGTTGAATAAACGCGAAAAACAAAGATGGCCGGTTTTAGACCATGAGTGGAGTTCACACGTGTTTTTAAATCAAGCTGTAAAACAATTTTAGGAGGTCATATGTTTTAAAATTTAACAATGGAGGCTTCAAATGGACAATCCTTGGAAGACGTATTTAAAAAATGGGAGAAGAAAGGCGAGGAAAGGCGGCTAAATGGCCCAGGATATATGGCAAGTTTATACAACGAAGGAAATCAGGATTCGCAACACGGACGGGCCGCATGGCAACAGAGATATGATGTTTCTGCATTGCCTAGACGACGATCAAACAGGAAAAAGCATCACGCAACTCGGGAAATTGTAAGAATTATGAAAGAAATATACGTTATCATGAATGATAGATGATTTAATATACTCAGTGGCATAGCCAGCCTGTCGATTTGCAAATTTCAACTCATCATTATTCATTTATTTGGAAATTGATTGCCTTGATAGTTTAGAAATGTGGAAATATTTGAATAGCAGGATTGAATTGTCGGGTTGGCTACGCCACTGCATGGTTATACTTATAACTGCAGGGATTAACTATATTCAAGTCCCCACGCAAAACGGTGACAGAAATTGACGTTTGTATTTAAACCCACTTACCCAGTCTTGAACATATCAAGCATGGCATAGCTTATGAAAATGTCACAGAATATGTGATGTTTTCACAACTGAATATTTACCCAAAACGTCAATTTGATGTTTAGTGTGGTAACAACAATGTGACTCCTAAGGTGACTGTCCTGCTGGTTTTGAAAATTTAATAGTGAATGGGCTATTACATTTAAAAACCGAACCCCCCCTGTCGAGGACCTCTGCTTTTGGGCATTTTCAAAAAAATCTGTGTAATTGACCCCTCTGGAAGAGACTTGAACCCCCTCTGGAAGTGCATTTTTGCTTTTTAACCCCTCTGGAAATAGCATTTTTCTTCCATTTTTACCAATAACCCCCCTGGAAAAAATGGAGGTCCTCGACAGGGGGGGGGGGTACGGATATTAAATGTAATAGCCCAATATATAGAAAATAAAACTGTGCCACTGAGATACCTCTGTGTCATGATACTAGTAATGTCAATTGAGTATTAAATTGAAGTATCAAACAACCGGCCTCCCCATAAGTTAGTACTATCTAGGCTTGAGAAACTATGATGGAATTCCAGCTGCCCAACCCTGTAAAACAATTCATAAAATGTATCTGGTATTGTGGCTTAACCCATTGAGCCCTGCGCTCTCCCTGTGACAAGTAAAATTGTGTGGCATTAAAGTACAGAGTAAAGTAATACCATGATTAAAGGAGGGCATGTTTGGATGCAATGCAACTCAATCAGCTAACTAGACACATGGGTAGATAATCTGATTAACCCATTGAGCATCATTGCTCTCCCCTTGATAAGTAAAATCATCTGGTGTTAGACAGAGTAATTAATGTTCATTACAAAACTTTAGAAAATAAAATTTCTGATGATCCAAACAAAATTTCCATATATTTGGGAAGATTGTTTTGATGTTTTTTTTTGTTAACCTAGGATTAAGCTAACCAATTTTGAATATAGCAGTTAATCATTGCATATTGAATTTCTTCAGGGTCATTCAAGAGATTTCGACTTTGCTATGTCAGAACCAGTTGAAAGAAAGTTTCAACTGATTCCCCCAATTGTTGAAGATCATAATCGCACATCACGACCCTTTCTAAGCACAGGATGCTCAAAATGCTCTCAGAAGAGCATTAAGGTTTGTGAGGATATACTTCTTGAACATGTATGTATATGATGCTTGTGATGTTACTCTGACGTATGTTCGATTCCCACCGTGGCCAGGCATATTTTTCAAGCTTGCGCAGTGTGGATATACACTCAGAGTAACATCACAAGCGTTATATTCACCTGAGTACAATTTTACCAACAGAGGAAAATATATTTCACTCTGATCCATAAATTGAAAGCTGTGCACAGATTGTTAGGATCTGGATCTGGAAATTAGTATAGCCATCCACTGGAGCTCCTGTTGCTAACTTCCTGACGAAGGGCCTTACCAGGTAATATATTTTTCAGTAGTTGAATCCCTCTCGATTCATTGAGTGCCAGTGCTCTCCCCTTGACAAGTAAATTGTCTGTTGTATTAATTAGATTTATTATTAGTATGACAAAATTACTGCTGATTGGTTGAGAGCAGTATACAATTATTTTATTAATTGCACTGCAGTGCAATTAATGATTTTCCCAAAACAAACAAAATGGCAGAAATGTATTTAGCACAAATGAAATTGCCCTCGAGGAACTTTATAAAACAAAATAACTAAATGAAAATAGAAACTAAATGAAAATTATCAAAAATTATCAAAAATTATCGCAAAACTAGATCCGAAGAACGTAAAAAACCCCTCAGATCTCTAAGTAATTCCATGAAAATCCTTGTTCGACGTAAACATCGTGATTACCTTCACAAAATTCAAGGTTCCTTCAGTGAAAATCCTAAATTATTTTGGAACTATCATAAAGCAGTATTACACCATCGCTCAGGGGTTGTCTCTATTATTACGAGTAATGAAATAACAGCCAAGACACCAGCAGAGAAAGCTCAACTATTTAACACGTACTTTTGCTCTGTTTTTACTTCACCCAGCGCAGTGTCCAGTTTGCCCTCTTCCCCCATAAGATCGGATATAGAAATCTCTGATATAGAGCTAACAGTGGAAGAAGTGTCAGCTTGTTTGTCTAGTTTAGACACATCTAAAGCCACCGGTCCTGACGGGATACCCGCACGCATCCTAAAGGAATGTAGCACGGAAATCGCACCAAGTCTTTGTACTTTGTTCAATCACTCTCTACGCATTGGGCATTTCCCTGCAGAATGGAAAAATGCCGACGTAACACCAGTCCATAAGAAGGATAATAAAGAACCTGCTGAAAATTACAGACCTATCTCTTTATTGCCGATAGTAAGCAAGGTGATGGAACGGTGCGTCTGTAACAGGTTCTATTCCCATGTCTCACATCTAATTACTTCTCTTCAGCACGGTTTTATGCGTAATCGATCATGTGTAACACAGCTTCTGTCTGTTCTCCACTCTATTGGAAAATCACTTGACCAAAACACTCAAACAGACATTTTATACGTGGATTTTGCTAAGGCTTTTGACTGTGTAGACCATGTTATTCTCATAGAAAAGCTTAAATGGTATGGCGTAACGGGGAATCTTCTTAACTGGTTTACTGACTATCTTAGCGATAGATCGCAGAGAGTTGTGATAGAGGGTGTAGCTTCTCGGTACCTACCCGTTACTTCTGGTGTTCCCCAGGGAAGCATTGTAGGACCTCTGCTGTTTGTTATTTTTATCAATGACCTACCTGATATTATCCAGGAACAGACAAGAACCGGCCTCTTCGCAGATGATACCAAGTTGTACCGATCAGTAAAATCCCCTTGCGACTGTGAAAGTTTGCAGCATGATATTTCGAACTTGAACAATTGGAGTCATAACTCTAACATGAAATTTAACGCCTCCAAGTGTAAGGTATTAACAATAACTCGAAAAAAATCACCTGTAATTACTGACTATCGTCTGGGTAATGTAATTTTACAACGCGCTCACCAAGAAAAAGATCTGGGAATTATTGTCAAAAGCAACTTATCCTGGGATTCTCACATTTTCTCAATCGTCAGTAAAGCCAACAAGATGCTTGGTATCTTAAAGAGAACTTGTCCCCTGATTAGAGATACTAAAGTTAGGCGAACACTATACCTGACTTTGGTAAAATCAAAGCTGTGCTACGCAACGGAGGTGTGGGGCCCCAGCTAATGTGAAGCTACAAGTTGCATTAGAAAGAGTTCAAAGGCGCGCTACACGTTGGATCCTCAAAAGTAAAGTTGGAGAAATGTCTTATGAAGATAGACTGAAAACTCTCAATTTATTGCCACTAACTTACGATCGAGAAATCAGAGATCTTGTTCTGGTCTATAAATGTATTTTCGGCCACACTGATTTGAACATTGAACATTTTGTGTCATTTATACATCATAATCGAACTCGTACTCAGAATCCATCTCTAATGTTAAAATCTCCTTACTGTAGAACATCCACTTTCCAAGGATCGTTCTTTAACCGAATAGTTAAAACTTGGAATAATGTTGGAAAAATAGCCTCTCCTGAAAATTTCGCCAGTTTGACAATTTTTAAAAGCTTTCTGCATGTGACATACACCGCATTGGTCAACAGTACTTTTAATGTTGATATGGCATGCACTTGGTCGCTCACAAGAGACTGTCCCTGCCACCGTTCTTAATATGCATGTTATGTAATATATATTTGTATATAGTGAATTAGGTTGGGGTTTTTTTTCCCTTTTTTTGGAGGGGGTGCGCCTAGCATGGGTCTTGTTGTCCCGTTTGCGCTATCCCCTTTGGACTTAAACTTGTAAATGTTTCTACTATATTTGTCCAATAAAGCTGATAAATAAATAAATAAAATAAAATTTTGTTGAAAGTCTGTCAGGACTTGAGGACTGCATGGGGTTTGGGAAGAGAAATGATGTGGACATTGAGTATTATCCAATTTTGTCATGCTGATAATAAACAAGTAATCATGCGATGTTGCTTGTACAATTACAGATTAATAGTACTTGTGGTGTTTGGAAATTAATTTTACCAAATTTGACTTGCCCTGGCGGCTCGTCCAATTTTTTTCACAATTTCCAAACATCACTCGTACTATTAATTATAAATCTTGATACTGCATACTTGCAGGTGAATCAAATGAGATAAAAACTAGAAAATATTTTCTTCTGATATAGGTCATGTTCACAACAGAAAAAATAAAAAACAGCCCTTTGAGAAATTTACTGGATTTAAGTGTGTTTTGTAGGTATGTTGTTTGTCATGAAAGTATGTTTTTTGTAGGTATAAAAGTACTAACACATACTCAGGCATGTATGATTTAAAACATACATTTATTGATTTTCAGGAAGAATTTCTTCAGAACAGCTTTTAGTGACATTCTTTATGTTGCTAACTTGCCAAATAGAAAGAACAAAAAGATTGCAGAGATGAAGAGTACTGTTCTGACATCACCAGGGTGAGAATTATGTAGATTATTGTTCCTATGATTTTTTGGATGTCTTTACACCATGCTTAAATTTAGTCCTCATACAACTGAATGCAGATAAATTTGCTACACTGGTACCAGTTTGATCACAGGTTTGAAATGTGTTGTGCCACAAATCGAGCATAGTGTAAGCAGGGCTTGGTTGGTTACTTGGTTGGTTGGTTGGTTACTTGGTTGGTTGGTTGGCTGGCTGGTTGGTCTATCAGCACACTTCTCCCCTAAAAACCCCCTTTTATTAATTTATAATAGAGATTAGAGCTATCACAAATTACATTAAACCTGTATTACACCCCTTCCCCCCCTCTCAAGCAACCTCTTTAGTAAGACCCATGTGCCCATATATTAGAGGAGTACATTTATTATATTAAGTCCCTTAATTGGCCATTCTCCTGTTACAATAAGGAAACATTGTGTGTTCTTTGGACTGTCAACCTTTCTTTAGGGTTTGTTCAACAATACAAAGATTAACAACACACCAGGAACATGAAGCTGCAACTCCTGATGTTAAAAGTAATTTTAATTAATACGAATTGCTATAGTTGTCCTCAATGGTAGATGTAGAGTAGGCTATTTTGTAGTGCTCAAATGTAGTTGAAAGACTTGCTGAAAATATACTTTCTTAAATGTCCCAGCATGGAATTCAACCTAAGGTCACTAGTACCAGCATTCTGACTGCTGAGCTGTTGGAATACCCGATTTAAAACACTAAAATGGAATAGGATATATAGCGTCACTAGAGTACTGACAATATATTGTACATACTAGGTGTACATGTAGTTAAAGAATGTGTTGTTCATTTATAGCTGGGGAGGAGATTGTCAAACCAACTTTAACAGCAAAACAGCTCAAGGCGAAAGCTCAGAAGATCATCAATGCTATGAATGGAACAATAAAGGGATATTTGATTAAGTAAAGTTTGTCATAATTGAGAGTACATGTATATGAAAGAGCCCAGCACATTGTACTCTTCATACACACATAGGGTATACTGTTTATGTAAGGCCTGTATCCAATTAATTTTGTGTCTTAATTTTATTTGTTATTTTTATGTTATATTGATTTTGTTTGCACAGAAAGCACTCTCTATTCTTCATACAGTGTAGTGATAAGAAACTGGACAGAATAACTGACACAGTCTGACAGAGGATATTTATCCAATTCTTTGCATAAATAAAATGCTATTCCAGCTTCTGGAGAAAATCAGAAAGGATTATCTATACAATCATGGTTAATAAGCATCTCTCAGTAACATAATTTGTCTGTTAATTGTATACAATATACAATAATATACAATATACAAAATATAAACCATATTATATTTGTGGTGTTACTCTGAGTGTATATCCACACCGGGCGAGCTTGAAAAATATGCCCGGCCACGGTGGGATTCGAACCTACGACCTTTGGAATACTAGCCCAATGCTCTTCCAACTGAGCTACGCGGTCAGGACGGTTCGAGTAAGTGATATTTCGGAACAGAATCTAGTTCCTTCGATACCAATGTATTCTGGTAATATGATTTTGTCTGTGTTGGTGTAGTATACTCAGGTGAATATGATATTTGTGGTGTTACTCTGAGTGTATATCCACACCGGGCGAGCTTGAAAAATATGCCCGGCCAAATATCATATTCACCTGAGTACACTACACCAACACAGAAAAAATTCATATTACTAGAATACATTGGTATCGAAGGAACTAGATTCTGTTCCGAAATATCACTTACTC